CTCCATCCCTCAGATCATTGACCTGCTCAAGGACAATGCATGGGATGTTCGTGATGCATCTGTGGCTGCACTGTCGAAGTTCTCGGAGCAAGGTATGTAGCTTATCTGGTTCAACATCGCACTGTTAAGGAGCATTGCAGCCGAGTTCCGAGGGCCCATTGGGACCTCAATCCCTCAAATCATCAGCCTGCTCAAGCACAATGACAAGAATGTTCGTTATGTGTGTGTGGATGTGTTGTCGAAGTTCTCAGAGCATGGTATGTAACTTGTCTGGTCTGGCATTGCACTGTTGACAAATGTTGCAGCCAAGTTCCGAGGGCTCATTGGGACCTCTATCCCTCAGATCATCAACCTGCTCCAGGACAACAACAGCAGTGTTCGTTGTATGTCTGTGGATGCATTGTCAAAGTTCTCAGAGCATGGTATGTAACTTGCCTGGTCTCATATTATACTGTTGACAGGCATTGCAGCCGAGTTCCGATGGTTCATTGGGACCTCCATCCCGCAGATCATCGGCCTGCTCAAGGATGATTCCAGGATATTTGTGATGTGTCTGTGGCTGCACTGTCGAAGTTCTCGGAGCACGGCATGTAACTTATCTGGTTCGGCATTGTGCTGCTAACAAGCATTGCAGCCGAGTTCCGAGAGTTCATTGGAACCTCTATCCCTCAGATTATCAACCTGCTCCAGGACAACAACAGCAATGTTCGTTGTATGTCTGTCGATTTGTTGTCAAAGTTCTCAGAGCATGGTATGTAACTTGCCTGGGCTCACATTACACTGTTGACAAGCATTGCAGCCGAGTTCCGAGGGCCCATTGGGACTTCCATCCCGCAGATCATTGGCCTGCTCAACAATGAGGTTGGGATGTTCGTTGTGTGTCTGTGGCTGCACTGTCGGAGTTCTCGGAGCACAGTATGTCACTTATCTGGTTCAGCATTGCATTGTTGATGAGCATTGCAGCCGAGTTCCGAGGGCCCATTGGGACCCCCATCCCGCAGATCATCAGCCTGCTCAAGGATGATGCTGGGGATATTCGTGATGTGTCTGTGGCTGCACTGTCGAAGTTCTCGGAGCACGGTATGTAACTTATCTGGTTCGACCCCGTGCTGCTGACAAGTGTTGCAGCCGAGTTCCGAGGGCTCATTGGGACCTCCATCCCGCAGATCATCAACCTGCTCAAGGACAATGACTGGGGTGTTCGTTGTGCATCTGTGGCTGCACTGTCAAAGTTCTCGGGCCACAGTATGTAACTTATCTGGTTCGACATTGCGCTGCTGACAAGTGTTGCAGCCGAGTTCCGAGGGTTCATCGGAACCTCCATCCCTCAGATCATCAACCTGCTCCAAGACAACAACAGCAACATTCGTTGTGTGGCCGTGGATGCGTTGTTAAAGTTCTCAGAGCATGGTATGTAACATATTTGTTATGGTGTTCCTCATGAGCATTGCAGCCAACCTCCAACGGTTCATCGGGACTTCCATCCCCCAGATCATCGACCTGCTACAGGACAACAACAGCCATGTTCATTGTGTGTCTGTGGATGTGTTGTCAAAGTTCTTGGCGCATGGTATGTAACATATCTGTTATGGCATCCCTGATGAGCATTGCAGCCGACCTCCGACGGTTCATTGGGACCTCCATCCCTCAGATCATTGACCTCCTCAAGGACGACAATAACCAAGTTCGTTGTGTGTCTGTGGATGTGCTGTCAAAGTTCTTGGAGCACGGTATGTAACATCTCTGTTATGGCCCCCCTGATGAGCATTGCAGCCGACCTCCGACGGTTCATTGGGACCTCCATCCCTCAGATCATTGACCTCCTCAAGGACAATAATAACCAAGTTCGTCGTATGTCTGTGCTTGTGTTGTCCAAGCTCTCAGAGCAAGGTATGTAACATATCTGTTATTACGTCCCTGATGAGCATTGCAGGCATGCTCCAACGGTTCATTGGGACCTCCATCCCTCAGATCATCGACATGCTCAAGGACAATGAGTGGGGTATTCGTTCTGTGTCTGTCGAAGTGTTGTCGAAACTCTCGGAGCAAGGTATGTAGTGTATCTGGTCCCGTATGGTGTCACTGATGAGCATTGCAGCCGAGTTCCAAAGGTTCATTGGGACCTCCATCCCTGAGATTATCGACCTTCTCAATGACAATGACAGCCATGTTCATTGGGCAGCTGTGGGCGCATTTTTGAAGCCCTCAGAGCAAGGTATGTCATCTCTCTGGTCTGACATGGTGGCACTGACAAGCATTGCAGTCGGTGTTGAGATGATGTACACCTCCCAGGATGCCTTCACTTCAGATATAATGATTGAAGCTCATACAAATGCACCGGAACATGTAGGGGAGTCCACCTATTTGCGATGGAGTCCACCAAGAGGAGACTCGGAGCATCTGCCGTTCCGCAATGTGATTCCAGATTCATCACTAGGTGAAATCGTGAGCTATAATGGAGTGCCGGAGGTGACCGACCAGGCAAGAGTATGTCATAAATTCAATTCATTGGTCCCTTGTTCATGCACCTCAAAGGTGCTAGACTTGAGGGCCACAAATAATATTACAGGTCCCAGCCGACTCAAGGATCATGTGGGATCGAAAAAATCAAAAACAACAAAGATCAAAGAATTGCATGATTTCTTTGTCGATTTGTTCAGTAAGCGGCCCCTTTATGTGCCAAATTGAAATTCAAAAGGTTCGCAGATCACCATAGTGTACCTCTTGGGACGACTGGGAGAGCTGAGACCCGGCTCCCCTGGAAAAAAATGCCCAATGTACTTGCAGAACAGGGCCTGAAGATCTCTGGTTGGCCTGAGGGAGTCCCCGAACCTCGATCGGACGGCAAAGCTGATAAGGGCATATCGGGATTCAACACGAAACATATTGAGGTGCTATACAAAGCAATGAAAGCAGGTCAGATCGACTTCCAGCCGTTGACGGAAGGGCGCGATGTTTCACGAGTTCGGCAAAGAGACGACGGCATGGAGGAGGAAGTAGAAATACGGCCGTCGAAGAAGGGAAAGCTGGCAGCGACGAGGAAGAAGCCGAAGGATTTCGTGGCTATGCAGAGTGTCATGAAATTTGAGACCTACATAGCTTGAAAATAGGAGAAGATGCATTTCCTCTGCTTGCATACAGACCTCAGCCGTGGTGAACTCAGACTTTTATGTGATTTTGTGATTAATTTTCATCTCTTCGGGTAAACTCGGATTGAGCAAGTTGAACTCAAAGGGAGCCCTCGAGCCAGAGTCCAATACGGACTGACTAAAAGAGTGTCGAGAATGCTATTATTTAATTTATTATTACAGTCGCGATACCGGTCCACTAGATCTCCGGTATCTGTATATATAATGTCCTCTCCCATGCATGCTCTATGGCTTCTCTTCACGCGGCGAAGGCTGCGACTCTCCTCCCCCCTCTATCCTCTTAGGCTGTCCCTGTCTCGCTTCCCTCGTGAAGGCGGAAAATCAACCTACTTATGCTCGAGCCTACTCATCCTCTGCCTCCCGGGCTGACGTCTCCACCTTTTCTCAGCTGCGAAACTGACTTTTCGCCTTTCAATGTGCATCGGTTTCGCTGCCGGCTTGCCCCACGGTGCTGCCACAAAACACGCACGTACTACCTACTTAACTCTAGAAAATACAGGGATCGATCAACAGACAACACATTCGATGGACCTCGCTCGCGTGTTGCTCAACCGGCTCATACTTATGTCTTTCATTTATACGTTTTCCCTCAGTCCTAAGGCTCCAACCATTTAGTTTTCGTTTGTGGACCCGGGCAAAACAAACGGAAACGGTACGTAAACAGTTTAAAACCATTTTAAACAGTTTATAAATGGTATTTTTCAGAGCAGTTCACTCGCACCTGGTGGAGGGGTCAAATCAAGTAATTTGAACATTCTGAGCATTCATACAACAAATTGATGTTATACGTTGACCCCGACGTGCACCAAGATCTGCGTGACGGCGAGACAAGGGCGGAATGCTGGTGCCTCATCTGCCGAGAAGGCTGAGCATCATCGAAACGCGCACTAATTTGGAAGGTCCTGCGTGTCGGTGGGCGGGTCCGTGCTTTGAACACGCCTATCAACCCGGCTGACACATTTTTTTCATCAGAGGATAACCTCCAAGACGTGGTAAGCTGTCGGATTCTTGACAACTGTTTAAACCGTTTACAAACGGTTTATAAACTGTTTGCTACCCCGGGCAAACTAAATGGAAATAAAAACGGTCAAAACCGTTTGAAAACGTTTACAAACGGAAACGGTTGGAGCCTTACTCAGTCCGCAGGCACACACAATTTTCTCACCCGAATATTAATTTCTCGATGCAATATTGCGCTCGGGATTCACAAGCAAGGAGGGCTTGGTAGCATGTGGTATGCATCTGCATCGGGCTTTCCACTTCTTGGTACAACTGACGAACCCCGTTCCACTCGGGGCTGGCCATGGATGCGGTTTGAAGTATGCTTTTTCGTCGCTTTCCGCTTGGTCTTTTGAATTTTTGCTTCGCTCCGGCGAGATACCGCAACAGGCCGTAATCATTGAATATCCAAACTCAAACGTCGAGGCTGCACCGAATATTTTTTCTGTTGCCACTGATCCAAAGAATCGAAATCAAGCCTGATCATGAGTACAGATGTCGAGGCATCCACCATGCAAAGAAAGGCCCGGTAGCATGTGGCATGCATCTGCCTCCAATGTTTGTCGCACTCGACTATGCGCAGACCACCCTGTTCGACTCGGGCTGGGCCATGTAGTAAAATCTCTAAGTCTTTTCTTGTTCTTTCTTCGTGTTTCTCCACTTCTCTTTCGACCATTCTCGCGTTTCGACCCACGTCGCTCTGGATTCAGGTGTTTTCTCACTGGTAAGATCATCAAGTCCTGTTCATTGATTAACTTTCTCCTTCACCAACCTGAAATAAATTGCGAAGAATCTATGATACGTGAATAGTGAGCACTGGTATAATATAGAGGCTTCAACAGAGCTCAGGAAGGCCTGGTAGCATACGGTATGCGTCTGCTCACAATAATAATCGAGAGTCTCCTGTGTATACGCAGACGATCTCCGTTCGACTCGGGGCTAGGCTATAGTGGGGTGGAACTCTTTGTTCTCTCTTTTTTCCACATTCTCGACTCGCGTCGACTCATGTCACTATGGTCCTTGCTCAAGTCCGCCCGGCTGTCGTGTTCTCGATTTATCTTCCCCTTCACCAAAGAAATTGTGAAGATCTACATGGACAGGGAGCACGGATATCAAGGCTGCCAGAGGAAATAGAAAGGCCCGGTAGCAGGAGTATGCATCTGCATTGCCATAAGGAGTCAGTTATATTTCGACTGCAGACGACTCGGGGCTGGGCCATGTGATCTTGGTAATTTCTGTGTTTTCTTCTTTTCTTTTCCATGTACTGTATCTCCTCAACTTCCATATTCGAAGCGCGCAGATCATGTTCAGATGGCACCTGAATTCTGCCATAATTCATTGAAATTTCGAGCATAGTTGTTTCTGGCGCTATCATATCTCCCTCCAGGTGCCTGCGGAGGTGGGATGGCCGAATTGAATTGCAGTATGGCCAGGATGTAGGGATCAAGATATCCGCAACCCCGTTCCAGTTGGCAGTGGCAGTCGCGATTGGTGTGAGCACCCGATACAAGCTCTTATTTTTATTTTGTTCGCTAATAACTGAGCTAAGGGCGTCAAATTGATACGAATTTTAATGTTCTCAAATCACCATGTCTTTCGTTCATTCCGGGGCAAATTAACCTGTTATCGGTGTTGTCAATCCCTCCTCTGATGCTCGCCAAATTGGGTTGCTGGACATAAAGTCTACTCGCCTTGTGTTGGCTTGGGATTTTGCACCCATCGTTCTCGCCCATTCCGAATTCCTCTCCTTGCGGACCCTAAATCAACTCGAACATTCCACCCACCCACCACTGTTTCAGAGGCAAGTCGAACACGATCTTTCAGTGACCTACCCATCGGATGCCTAACGCACCTGTTCGACTTGGGGCAGTTCGTAGTGGGTAGAAAATGTGTTGGGAGAGACAGAAGCGTCGGAATTTGGCCAGCACAGAAACACGCCAGGAGACTCGGAGTTGAAAAGCACAAAAGAGGTTTGCACAGGATCCGGAAGTTGACGCCGGACGGCAGAGGGGACTATGCTGTGGTGCCGGAAGATTTCTTCTGCTTGAGTGGATACTAGCAGAATAGCCTGGAATACGCTTCATTTACCGCCGTTGGATGAACGCTGCACAAAAGGAGCCGATAAGTTGATCCGAGTTTTCCCGATGTTTGGACGCCAAACCTTGCGCCAAATAGGCTTCCCGTTTTGCTCCTCCTTGCCGCTACTCCTTTGTACCTTCATGCTGGGACTTCCGGAAACTATTCCAAGCTACTTTGACGTGCTGAAGCGCTGAAATGCTCCCTCTCACTGGTCGTGTACTTCCACTTGCGCAGCGCATCAAGCCGTGGCCTTGTATCAGACGATGTAGTAGGAGAAAGACTATGGATTCACTGAGTTGGAGAGAAGACGTTTCCCTCGGCGCCCGCAGGACATTAGATGAGGTAGTGAAGGGCGAGGTGCGTTCTCTTGTGCGCTTCTTTTGGTCCCATTCCTGCGGCGTGGTTGTCCGTGGAGTCATTGCATCCTGGCTTCCCGGGAGAGGAACAACGTGGCTGGACGCGTCGAGTGGAGGCGGGGAGGACTCGTTCTCTCTTTTGGGGGGGATTGGACTTGGAGAGTAGGGCGGAGGACGCAATGGCGTCCAGTAGAGCAACGGAGCGGAAGAGGCAGGGGACGTCATTCTACACGCAAGCCATCACTAGGTCAACTCCTCCACTCTGTTTACATCTCTCTCCGCGGCCCGCCCTTCCTTCTTCCCTCTACCTTCTCTCGCGTCCCTCCTCTCCGCAGTTTACTGATGTACATCCCTCTAGTATCGCGCTCAAGGACATGTTGCTTGAGGCGGGCACACTGGGTGCATGCTCCTTCTTCTCTCTCTTCCTTCTCCCTCCCTTCCTCTCTTTCGACTTTCATTTCTTTTGGCCTTCGACCTTTAAGGAAAGATTGGTCAGGCGCCCGCCCAATAAGCGCCCACCCTATTCCGTCACTGGGAATCGGCGCGCAGGCACCGTCGGGTGTGCGGGGTACGGATGCACGGCGGGTGTCCGGTGCTCCGCTGCTAAAACGCTACCACCAGTGCTCTTCTTCCTATCCCTCCCCTACTCGACCTCTGTGTGTGCCGTGCTCACGCGTCCCAAAGATAACGACATCGACTTACCTCAAGACACTCGGTGCAAGCTTCATCGGTGTGCACGGCTTGGAGGTGTCGCGCGGGCAGTGGTGGAGGTGGGAGTGGGGAGCGGTGCGGGCAAGGTGCGCTCTCTTCTTCCTTTTTGGGTCCGTTTTCTACGTGGTGATCGGGGCAGCATGGCATCGTAGGGGAGGAGGTGATGCTGGGAGGGGCGAGCACGAGGAAGGCGCAGAGTCTGCGCACGCTCCTCGCTCTTGTTTCCACCCCCGGCGCTGAGATTTACGGTGCAATGTGCGTGGATTGAAGAGGCGAGGAGGGGCCACCTGGCGCGCTCTCCTCCTGCACGCGCCACAGCGAGCTCCTCCACTGGAATACAGAGCGGCGCGAGCTCGTACCCCCCTCCCCCTCTTTCTTACTCTTGCCTGGCTTCCCTTCCCCACCTCGTGTCGAGCACGCAGGACTCTTTCTTTCTTTCTCTTCAAGTTCCTCGTCTCCGTGAATATCTCACTGACGCACGGCTCTCTAGTATCGCGCTCAAGAGACCCTTCTCTCGAGGCGCACGCTGTGTGCGTGTCCCATCTCTTCCTCTTCTCACCTCTTTCCCGTCCTACCTTGTTTCTTCCCTTGAGGAAGGGAAGGTTAGGCGCCCATAAGCGCCTGCCGGATCCTTCCTTTCCTTGGACGTTGGGTGAATCGTACCACCACGGTGCCTTCGGGTGCGGGTGCGGGCTGCGTGGTAGGTGCGGATGCAGGGCTATTGTAGCCCTGCCGCTGTAGGACCAGGCGCGGAGTGAGGGGTGGGCGAGCGCGAGCGCGCCCGTGATGGCGGCGGGTGCGTCACGAGCTGAAGATATTCACGGAGGGCTCGACACGTCTGGTGTGGCGCTGGAGATAGCGTGATCGGTGATGCACATGGAGACTCAGCGAGGGGGACGCCTGTGCGGGGCGCGCTACGGATGTGGATGTCTCGCGGCGTCACGAGACATCGGCCCCGATGCATCACTGCCGATTCATCTACATCGGCGCGCGCGTGGATTGGATACATGCCAGTGCGGGTGGATGTGCGGAGCCGATGCGATACCATGGGAGTGGACGCGACTGTGGGTCTGAGTGGGTACACTGCAAGCGGGGTACACTGCGAGCGGGAGGTCGGCGGCTGCACGATGTGTGCGCACTATGCGCGGTGATAGATCCGGGTGGATGTTTTTCCGCTTGTAGCCTGCGGGTGTGGACGTGTGCCTCCGCGCATGCGAGGCGGACTGCTCGGTGGCGGGAGATGTACCAGGTGGATACCTCTACGTATTGCTGACGACTGCCCGTTCCCGGGGACCAGCAGTGGTGGAAAGACGTATGGGTGTCGATAGCGCGGGGATGCGGGCGTGAATCTCCCGTGCTTCGTGCGCTGGGTGTGTGCATTCCCCGTGCCCGTGTGTCTGTTGAGCGGGTGGCTATGTGCGGTTGCACACCTGATGTGTGATTCGTCTTGAGCACTTCCATCTCGCTTTCCTGCGTTTGGAATGATAGCGGGCGAGTACTGCGCAGCGTGGATACTGCGGGCTGTGCTGCTCCATACGCACAATCCATGTAGGTGCGTCGCGGATATATCCCCAGGCACCCATGAAAAGAGTACTGTACGCTTACTAAGATGTCCGTATTATTTTTTCCGACGATCATAAATTTCAAGTCTCCTCCCCGCCCTCTATGTACGTCCCGCTTGGCCGGCATATACCCGCTCGAGACCGCGGATAATTGATACTCGGCCCTCGTCGCACATACGCTCCCCTGCTGCATAATTTCGCTTCACCACAGAACCGGAGAGAGCGTTGCACGCGGCACGCGGCACGCGCCTCTCGCCTTCTTTCTACTGCTACTGGGGATTCTGTGCCTCGTGGCCGCCATCTGGGTCGAAGCACGAACCGCAATAAACAAACCGGATCCACCCAGATTTATGCTGAAAACCCTAGCCGGTTCTTACCTCCATGTCTCCAGGTTGCGGTTTGAGGCGGTACTCTGGCTTCGAGGGTCGATCGATTTTCTGACGTCTCGACGCAACTTGATGTCGTTCTGCGTGTGCATCGCATGTGAGCTCACCTCTCGCCAGAATAAAATGGCCTTATAAAACGGCACACTGCTCCCTCAAAAATATATATATTCGAAATCTGAAACCAGGGATGTCTCAGGAGGATCCAAATGCATGCTTTCCTGGCTTTGCTTTTTGTCCCAATGTTTTGTGGCGGGAGCTCAATCGCTGTCACGCTTGGGTCATGTGGCTGCTTGCGGGCAGTGACTGGCACCTACTACCTTACCAGTTCAGTTTCCTAAACGGCAGGCCGGATATGGGGGATCACTATGTACGTATCATCTCAACATCTGGCTCAAAGGCCAAACTGACACTATACTGGCATATAATTTGATATTAGATGAGTAACTTGTTGCGCAGCAGCCACTGGAGCCACGTCTCCCTTGTTAATTGTAAGATACAGGTTGGAATAATTTGGGAAGTAAAAGTTGCGTATCAGTCTATTGAGCACATAGAAAATTAGATTATGGATCCTGTCGACGAGCAACCTTTCGAAAAATCGGATTCAGCAAGTATCTCAACAGTACAAGTAGTGTCAAGTCCCTCCCGAGTCCCGGCCAGCAATCGGCGGCCCGCTGTTAGCTGAAGAATATTTGTTAATATCTTGGCCTCCAAGAGCGATTCCTGCCTTACCTCACTCAGTCCAATAATGCTGCAAAAACTGCATCGAACCAGGCACGGCTCCAGGATGCAGCTTCTCCTTCATCATCTGGCGCGTCATAATTATCGAATCGTCGAATCTATCCAGGCATATTGA